CGATTAGAAATAAATCCGGCCAAGAGTGTGTTCATAATCGCTCCCATTTCAAGGGCTTGATTCAGTCAAACTAACAAGACTTGAAGGTTGTTTCAAGCACGCACTCCATCGTTCTTACTACCCTTGTTCAGCCCGCAGTCCTGTGGCCGATTTGGGTGCTAGGTTTGTGGAAATTCTTCATACTCTCTTGCTCTCTTTCACCACACACATGCAACCGTTCAATGTAGCTTTACTCTGTCTCAATTCATTGATTCGAAACTGAAATTTGTGAAAGATGTCTACTTGTTTTGTTTTTTGTGAGAATTTAAAGCATGAGCGTTGGCGATGATTCTTTCATGGTGTTAAACATTGAGGTGGAATTGGAACTACTTTAGCTTAGAGTTCGTTTTTTGAGGGTCTGAGTATCTCATTCTCGTCCAGTTCATCCCAATTTTTATTATCATGGTTCAGAGTGTGCATGTTGCTTGTGTGTGTTTTATTCATCTGCTCCTTCCAGTTTTCAATTGCATCCTCTAGTATTTACTTGGGTTTGGTACCCTAATTTGGTGGTTAGTTAAGTGACTAGCATCCCTATTGAGATTCCCCCTTGACTAAAAATCTTTTCTTTCGATAGACCAGTGATGTGCATAATTTCTTTAGACGCATGACCATGTGGATCTTGTAGACAGTGTCTTATTATTCACTCAGAGACATGCAGTTGTTTGGGGAATTATTGATATGTTTGAGGCGCATGGTAAGTTAGGATGTCTGTTGCACATTATTGTAGGGTAGATATCAATATGATTCCCCTGTTTATCACATTTTAAGGGATTGATTGTCTCTAATCGCAGCTTCGTTCAGCATTTGGATACCCTTCTAATTTGGTGAGCCTGCATAGTAATCGTCCTTTCGTCTCAATGGCTTCTCTGGATCCTATAGATATCAGTTCATCAGATAGTGATTCAGATTTACGTGAGATAGACAACTATAGGGACGAGTCTCCAATTAGGGATACCTCCTCATCAGTTCCTCCCAGGATACTTCCAGCATGGATGTCTCAAAATAATTCTAATTTGGCAGGTGAAATATTTCAATTGCTAGATACAAATAGACTTATTGTGATGCATCCAATGTTATAGATTTAATTCCTGTGATGCAATCTGCAGTTCGTCAAGACCCTTCTTCTTCTTCTTCTTCCAAGAGGCAGAATTTTGCTCATAATAATAATTTGTCAAGACCGCGCAAGCATTTACACATCACAGAGTCTTATGGACCTTCAAGCTTGATGATTGATGGTAATAATCACCAGAAGAACAGCTCAAATAGTTCTGGTAGATTGGTTACAAGCCCCAACATTCACATTTCTCATCAACCTTTGAAGAGGTCCCTTCCTGCATCTCTTCATGCCTCTACATCTAATGTGCGATCCAGCAGCCCAGTAGAAAATGTTGTTGCAAGCGAACTTCGCGGCATGTATGCAAATTCTTCTAATGGGAATAACTTGATCAAAGAAAATTCAATCTGGGGCAGTGGGAGCAGTTCCTCATTGTATGAGAAAAAAGGAAATAGATTATTGCCTCCATCTTTGGTTCCTGGCAAGCATACGTCGCCCTCAACATTTGTTAGTTCTAATGACCCTTTCCATCATACTGGAATAGTTGAAGAAGGGCCTGCTGGAGCTGATGAGAGTTTAGTTTTTCGAGCCGCCGTGCAGGTACTTATTGTTTATTAGTCTACTTCTTGGTTTGTTTTCATTTGTTTTTCTTTGATTATTAAGCCAGTCATATATGAAGGCTCTTCTTATATTTTGATTGATGGTGGTCTGAGTTTCTAGTTATGTTTGCTTTTCTCTTACATTGTTTTTATACTTGAATAACTATATTGGATGTGGTTTTTGTTCTACCTGCAGGACCTTCGTCAACCGACACTCGAAGCTAATTTACCTGAAGGCCTCTTGTCGGTGCCTCTTCTTAGGCATCAGGTTCTTGTCTGCTTATGTTAGCCATCCATTTAATTGAATGTAATATTTGTGATTTTAAGCATAGACCTTATCACATTTCAGAAAATTGCTTTAGCATGGATGCTTAGTAAGGAATCATCTGGTTTATGTTTGGGAGGGATTTTGGCTGATGACCAGGTGAGCAATCTGTTGTTTCATTTAATCGGATGACAGGTGAACAATCTGTTGTTTTATTTAATCTTAATATCTAGACCACATTCCTTTGGTCGGAGACGATGTCACCAAATAATATTCCATTCTGCAGGGCCTTGGTAAGACTGTGTCGACAATTGCGCTGATACAGATGCAGAGACACCTTGAAAAAAAGGCCAAAAACAAAGTTTCTTGTAATAGCAGGACAGAAGCGTTGAACTTGGATGATGATGGTGGAATTAGTGGTTTGATTGCACTTGATGATGCAAACCAGATTAAAGAATCTGATGATTTTGCGATATTACCACGGGAAAGTAAAGGGTTCCGTAGCAGGAGGCCAACAGCAGGAACATTGATTGTTTGCCCAGCTAGTGTTCTTCGACAGTGGGCCCGGGAGCTGGATGAGAAAGTTACAAGTGAGGCGAAACTTTCTGTTCTAGTTTATCATGGAGGCCAGAGGACTAAGGATCCTGCTGCATTGGCGAAGTATGATGCAGTCTTAACTACATATGCTATTGTGACGAATGAAGTTCCAAAACAACCGTTGGTTGAAGAGGATGATGATGAACAGAAAGATGGAGAGCTATATGGGCTGTCATCTGCATTCTCCATGGAGAAGAAACGGAAGAAGCCCTCAGCTAATAAGAAGTCCAAGAAGGGGAAAAAGGATAATGATGTGTCTGCATTTGATAGTAATAGTGGCACACTGGACAGGGTGAAGTGGTCTAGGGTTGTTCTGGATGAATCTCAAACAATAAAAAATCACAGAACTCAAGTGGCTAGAGCCTGCTGTAGCCTTAGAGCGAAAAGGAGATGGTGCTTGTCTGGAACCCCAATACAGAATTCAGTGGATGAATTATATAGCTACTTCAGATTTTTGCGATATGATCCATATGATAAGTTCAAAAAATTTTCATCCTCTATCAAGTCCTTTATTTTGAGGGACTCAGTTAAAGGTTACAAAAAGCTTCAGGTTGTCTTAATGAATATCATGTTGCGAAGAACAAAAGGTGATTCCCTTTAGTATTTTGTTGAAGATAGCATGGTTAAATGTTCAGTTAAAAAAAATTATTAGTGCCTTGTGGGTAATATTCTATGAAACTTATGATGTGTTGTTCACAGCTAGTTGGAAACATACTTCTGTTTTTGTTGTCTATGGTTAGGATAACATTTGGAATATTAGTTAAAAAAAAAATAAAAATAAAAATAAAAAAATAAAATAAAAAATTCCGACCATACTTCTTGCAATTTATCTGTTCTCTTTTTCTCTTCTGTGCTCCCGTTTGAGCAAACGGCTCCACCTTATGTCATAAGATTTATTTTTTTTTAAAATGTAGATTATAAGGGCTAGTATGATTCAAGTATTGTCATCATTTTCAGAAAATTGAACAATGTTAAGCTCAATGAATTGGTGCTTAATATTATGTTCGTTGTAGCACTGACCACCTCAAATACTTTGACATTGACTTCTCTATGGATTCATGAAAAAACTTCAGACTAATATTTATTTTTGGCTGTGCACTGCTGTCGGTTGCTGAATTTGTCTGGGTTGAATTGTTCATTGCTACCGTGATGTTTTTGTTCTGCAATCTTTCTCATCCTGGTTATGGTTGTTTGCACGAAGCACTTGACATGTATTGTTTTGTCTTTTCGTTTGCTAATTGTATTGCTGCTGAGATAATAACAGTTGATTTGGGTTTGTTTCATTACCTAATCATTGTATTCACATTAATGATGTTTTTCCAATGTCTCGCATAGGTACATTGATTGATGGTCAGCCTATAATCACATTACCTCCCAAAAAAGTACATCTGATGAGGGTGGATTTCTCTATAGAAGAGCGAACTTTCTATGATAGGCTTGAATCAGATTCACGCAGACAATTCAAGGTCCTTCTGACTCTGCATTTGTGTATATCTCTATTTTATGTAATGATTTAGACATGTGCAATGTACATACAACCACTGTAATTTTGATCTGTGTCATTCCAGAAGAAGAGCCACATGAGCTTTGAGATGTTCTGCTATTGTGCTTTTCGTGTCTTAATTCTACTGTGAACTTTGGTCCTCTCACTGTCTATTTCTGTAACAGTTTGTTGTCCTCTATCATAGTCTCCATATGGTGATTCCTTTTTCATGTGAAATAGCTGCACAGATACCTTGTACAGTACACCAAGGTCACTATTCCTAATTTCCTATTGGCTTCAATTTTCTAATCTAATAAGTAACTATATTTCCTCACATAAAGGGAAATTACTGCTACACAATAATAAGTGAACAAAATCACTCTTATTGCTAAATGCTAATAAAAAACATGTGTCTGAGCATTACTTTTGGATCCTCATCATGTTTTCCATAAGAAGACTCATTGAGGTGGTAGTAGGAATATTGATGTGCCTGTAATTTTTCCATGATTCATTTATATTTTTGCTACGTTTTTGTCATAATTCTCATCTGAATTCTGATAGTAGGTGTGACTAATGGTTGAAGAACAACATATAATTTAAAAGTTTGTTTTCAGGCCTATGCTGCTGCTGGCACCGTTAGTCAAAACTATGCAAACATTTTGTTAATGCTTCTGAGACTTCGCCAAGCTTGTGACCACCCGTTACTTGTCAAAGGGGTGAGCTCTGACCCTGTTGGAAAGGTTTCATCTCAGATGGCCCAGATGCTCCCCAAAGATCTTCTAGTTAACCTGTTGAAACAATTGGAAACTTCACAAGCAATATGTCTCGTATGCAAAGTACGTTCTTCATTGACGTAGGACTTTGTATCGCTTTATACCCATTTTCAGTACCTTCAGTCATAAATTTGAATTTGTTTGCAGTCTGTCTTTTGAGCTCAAGTGCCCCTTTTACTGGTCTATTACTGTTATCGTCCACTGGTCTGCACGGAATCTTTTAGTTTGTTCATTTCTGTTCAAAAATGCATATTGACCAGTAACCCTCAAAACAATCTTCTCAACGTAATGCTGTGTGATTATGAAAACCGTTTGTCAAAGTTTGTTCCTGTTTAATTGGATAGAATATGATATTGGATAATTATATGAAACTATAATAATTATAAATACATAGTATATTTGAAAATCTTTGTATTTTACCTTACTAATTAGTATATTTTTAAAAAATATAGTTTGTAAGTTATGCTCGAAACATTAATCAATTTATTAGTACTTTTACGACCCTGCCGTGGCCCCAGCCCGCGAGTGCCCTTTTGAATCTTGCTTTCTTACCATAGTGAAGCCAGCTGTTGTGTACGAGAAACTGATGCAGTTTTTGAACTGATTTTTATTTCAATAGGATCCTCCTGAAAATGCAGTTGTCACAATGTGTGGGCACGTTTTCTGCTATCAGTGTGTCTCGGATTATTTAACCGGGGAAGATAATACATGCCCCGCCTCTGCCTGCAAAGAACAACTCGGTGCTGATGTTGTATTTTCCAAATCTACCCTTACGAAATGCATATATGATGGGGTTGATGGTGATAACCCTGCTTCCAAAGAACACGGGGAGAATTCTGTAGTTGTACAGAGTAACTATGTATCTTCAAAAATCAAATCTGCTCTCGAAATTCTCAAGTCACATTGCGTATCAAAGAGAAGGCAGAGTTCCGAGTTATATCATTTGGCCAGCACATCATCATCATCAGCTGATTGTTCAGAGAGTATAGAACGTGAAAAAGCAATAGTTTTTTCTCAGTGGACCAGCATGCTCGACTTGGTGGAAATGTCCCTCAAGAATTCATGTATCAGTTACCGGAGGCTTGATGGTACTATGTCAATACCTGCTCGAGATAAGGCTGTGAAAGATTTTAACACTGATCCTGAGGTTGGAAAAAATTCTTCTGTTTGTACTTAGTACCTTCATACTTGTGCTAACAATGTAGTATAACATTAGATAATCAACATTTTGGTGGTCTGTTAACTTTTGTAGGTTGACGTGATGTTGATGTCACTAAAAGCTGGAAACCTGGGCCTGAATATGGTTGCTGCTTGCCGCGTAATCCTTTTGGATCTATGGTGGAATCCCACAACAGAAGATCAAGCGATTGATAGGGCTCACAGAATAGGACAAACCCGGCCCGTGACTGTATCGAGGCTGACCATCAAGGACACAGTTGAAGACCGAATTCTTGCTCTTCAGGTTTGTTGATGCTTGTTATTGTTAATTTTTATCAGTAATTATCGCTCTACTGCATAGTTTTGTGTCTGAGTGACATTTTGTTATGTCTTTTAGGAAGATAAGAGAAAAATGGTTGCATCGGCTTTTGGTGAAGACCAAAGTGGGGGCCAACGCAGTCGCCTGACGGTGGAAGATCTCAGGTTTTTGTTTGAAGGTCGTTGAAGACTTCCGGGCATTTGTGGCACCAGTAATGAAATTTTTTGGGTGGTGCTACTTGTAAAAAAAACCGCTAGACTTTAGTTAGTTTTGCCTCTACTTTTGTGACTAGAAACTGGCAACTCGTAATGCCAAAAAAAAGGAAAAAATGTGGATCCAAAGGCTCGTACATATTTGTCTTTATGTAAAATGAATTTGGTGCATGCAATGCAACTTTGGTCCCCAGAGTATGGTAGTGTAGCGTGCGTTTTAAGCCAGGAGGCTTAGAGTTGGTAATTTTGAACAAGTAGCTTGGACTTTTACTATTAGGTACTGACTGAATGAATGACAATCTTTTGGCCAATCTTGTGTTCCAATTTTATCAAAGTTGGAAGCTTTATTTTGTTGTTATCTAACAGACGACGACTGAGATTGATGCTAACTTGATCAAAATGTAAATGAAGCCTATATACAGTGGCCAAAAGGCCTAATAGCATGTCCATAAAGATAAAATTCTCATGAAATCCAATAAATGCATATCAATTGATCACATTTTGGAAACACTAAATGTATTATTAGAAATGTTCCCCTACCCACGGTGGGCACATGTTAGTATGCCCACCGCAGAGGTGGCATGCACTCATTGGTGATGGTAGCAAGCTATTCTGATGGGGAATTATGTATTTCATTTAGTATTCAAAAAGTTCAATCATCTGGAAACTGGTACTGTATACACACAAAGCTACACAATCAGGATCATCTTCACAAGCAAAACGGAGCCAGCACATGGTAATACATATGCTTTTGAGAAAGAATTTATCTGATCCTCTCATCCAAACTTTCAGCGCACAACTCTCAAATTGAGCCTTGCTTGCTCAAAGTGGATTCAGTTAATACTTTGGGTACCAAAACATGCCTTTAATGCCATCAGGGTCGGGCTCGAAACCCAGATTCCGATAGAACTCAACCACTGCAACCCAAATGGAAAACAAAAAAAAAACAAAAAAAAGATTCAACTCAAAAACACGTATATCCTGCAACTGTGGGAAAGGCTTATTGAGGATAAATACCTTGACTATCAGCAAAAAGTGAAATATTTCCAATGTCCCTCTGCAGTAAAGTTCTTATAAGCTTCTCAATAAGGGCCTTGCCTAGACCTAGGCCCTAAATCACCATCACATTCACCAACATCACAAATGCAATTGGTTCAAGTCAGAATCACAATCAACATTCGCACAAAAACTTTTGTAGGCATGGCCGAGCAGAAGTACAGATATTCACAAAGGACCATGGCTGCGCAACACTAGAAGGTCGACATCCAAAAAGTTCTACTCGGTGTAGTTTGTCCAAATATCATACTGTAACAAATACCTGATAAGAAGGATCAACGAGAACATCCCATATCGTTGCATTGAAAACATGGTCAGACGTAGCTCGCGCCATCCCTATCAACTTCTTTTGGCCATACTCCACTGCCAAGTAACTTGCCAAAGTACACTAAGATGTATGTTACTTGAGATTTATTTAATAACCATACTACTTTTGTTACGTTGCAAATACCGTTGTCAATTGGAAAACAAACATTAGTGTTTGTTTAAGGTAGAAGTTAATTATCTAACCAGGAAAGTTCAGTTACTAATACCTTCTCCATCTGATTTCTCTATGGAATGCAAAGTAGCAACTATGTAGCTATTTCTTAGAGCTTCTGCTAGCTTTGACAGTGGCCTCCGAGGCCAACCAACCTATCAAGAAGAAAAACACACAACTTACGAAAGACATTACTTAACCACATAAAACTCTTTCTCAAGTCCACCAAAACAAAATAATAGTATAATCACCTTATCACATAAAGCTTGGAGATCATATACGTCAATATTCCCACCGGAAGAGAATATGATTTGTTCAACCATTCCATCATCTCTCGTCCTCTCAACGAGGACAAATTCCTCGGGCAAGGGCTCTCCCTCTTCTTCAGCACTCGGAGGTGCCTCTATAACCTGTGCTGTGTCGTTCTTCAAAATACTGCAACACGAAGCTACTAATGTTGATACGGTGATACCTCACTCACTTCTCTTCAATAATTTGTGATGGTTCACATGTTCTCTATTAAGATACCGAATTCAAGTACAATTAAGAGAAAACTGCAGTTACCCTGATCTAATGGACTCCCAGAAGTTTGCTTTTAGTCTCGAAGCCTTTTGGTTTCTGCTGCCTGCAAAGGAAAGTGAAAATAACAGCTGATGCCCATCTAAAATCATGAAACGCAATACAAAAGAATAAAGTCCAGATTTTTCTTCTTTTTTTTTTTTGTTGTTGTTGGAAAAATTACCAATACATTGGCAATGGTTTATCACACGCCCGATATCTTTGAGTGCTATGAAACGGACCACTAGTTAAACATTATGCCAGCTAAACTTTCATGTTACAGAAAGAAAGAAGCAGCAGAACAAAGCAACCAAGAGAAAGAAAGAACTCCAAAATGATTTCCATTCATGAGACAAAATGGAAAAAAGCACCAAGGACCTAACTCGACGGGCAAATACTACAAGCAGTTATGGACCAGAGAGAGATAAAAGGGCAGCTAAACTTCCAAAAGAACTCCTGAATGACGCTTCAAACAAACTACTGAGTAGAGGATATTTCAATATACCTCTCCAAAAACCGAAATTGAGGGAAGGAGACGACGGGCACAGCTCTGGAGCCCGGAAATACGGAGAAGCCATTGGAGGGTAACTGCAGAGACGGAAGCAAATCATTATCACAAATTATGCGCAATCCTAAGGCAAAAATTACTCACTGCTTGATAACTGAGTAGATTGGAGGTGGTTGGATAAAGATTACTCACTGCTTGACGGCGGTGGGCGACAAAGCGACGTCGTAGGCTGGCATTTTTGTGGGCCGGAAAGTATCAGTGTGCGGTGGTGGACTGGTGGTGGTCGTCCGTCCAGATATGGCAAAGCCAATCCAAATTCCACCAGAAAACTTGAAAATATTATCGACTCTTGGTGGGGGTAATTCGGTCAATCCATCTTAACCTTCCAACCATGCCAGTTTGCATTACGCTTTTTTTTTTTTCTTGACAATTTGCATCTAATAGTAATCGAAACTAACAATTTGCATTATAAATTAAAAAGTCAAATATAACACAATTTTTTTTTTAACTCAATTAACGATAAACTTAAAATTAATTTTTAAAATAATTTAGAGCTTTTAAAGCCCATGAGACAAACAAAATGAGTATGCTTTGTGGATTTCTGAAATCGATATCTCTGCAATTGATCAACGAAGATAGTAGGAGCATGTTATAGCATGTTATATAGAAAAAAATTTTAATTCAAGTTTTTTGATAATCAGAAGTATCCGATTTTCGATTAAAATATATCTTTTGAAAGCTTGGAAGACGAGTTTTCTAACGAAGTAAATTTTATGAAAATCCAATCGTCAGATCTTGGTTAGTAGCCTAAAAAAGCTAACAATTGATCAATAGTTTTCTAACTACTTATCAAAATCCGACAGTTGGGTTTTCATAAGATTTATACATTAGAAAACTGGTCCTGCAAGATTTCAAATGACACATCTCGATCGAAAATAGAATATTTTAATTATCTAAAAACTTAAATTGAAATATTCTTTTTTTATACACGTGCTCCTACTATATTCGTCGATCGATTACAGAGGTATCGATTTTCAGAAATCGACAAACTATACCTCATTTTGTTCGTCTCGTCATTGGCTATAGAAGCCCTAAATAAATTTTAAAGATCAATTTATAACTTATCGTTAATTGAGTTAAAATGCCATATTAGGGTTTTCAATCGAGGAGGCAAATTGTTAGTTTCGATTACTATGTGAGGCAAATTGTCAAGAAAAAAAAGTTCCTAAGGCAAACTCTAAATTTCGGCATAGTTTGGGAGGTTAAAAAAATTTCCCTATATAGAGAAAATTTTAGCAACTCCGTATATATATAGATTCATCATTTAGGAAAAACTTTGGACGGGGACAGATAGGAGACAACTGGGGAGTTTTGATTGGACCGTTGGTGATGTGGGACATATTGATGTGGTGGATGGTTGGTGTAGAAATGTCCATATTACCTTTAGTGAAGATATAATAATAGCTTTTTATCCGCCGTTAGATTGTCTGATTGAGATTTATTCTCATTTCTTTGGTTAAGCAACATTCTCACGTGAACTCAACTCTATAGATATATATAGATATAAAATAAAATTGAATTGTAACGATATTTGGAGAGAAAACTATGGAGGTTTTATTAAATGATATGTTAGCGGAAATTGATAAAACTCCCTATGCGGAGATGCTTTTGATTGATTACATAAAACTTACAATAATATTACTGTTATTTAAACATACACATTCGAAATTTGAAAAAGGAATAGTTTCAAAGTTTAAGTCATGGTGATGATTATAGTATTAGGCTCTTCACATTAATTTAATATATAGCCCTTCTGAAAATGGCAAAGGTATGTAATATATAATTCTGTTGTAAGTAAAAAAATCTCACTCACAAGTCACACCTTTGCATGCCTCTTTATTCTCTCTTATTTATTTAGTTATTATAACTTTAATCTATGGATGCAGCATATAAATGTAAGTTTGTGAGTGAGATGATATTAAATTGAATTGCCTTTTTTTTTTTTTATTTGTTCTTCCTCTCAATGAATGACCATTTTATTGCATAATGTATCCTCTTTTTTTATGGCATTGTGGGCTCCTTACTTTGTGTGTCTTTTTTTGCTTGGACTCTGGCTAGCTAGCTACCTACCTTTTTCTTTCTTGAATGAATCAATCAATGATTGGTTCCTCATTGCATTTAACTGTTTGTTTATTTTGGTTTAAAAAGACAAAGTGAAGATCAACATTACATTAGTGGAATAAATTACTTATATATATATATTTATATAGTTGATGATGGTGTAGTAGTAGTATATTTGATTCAAAGGGCAAAAGTAGCAAGAGTAGAGCAGAGCAGCTGCTTGGAATGATGGTGTGTGAACAATCTTCTCCCAAATTTGACAGGTACTCACTCACTCACTCACTCCTACACAGACAGACAGACTCATGCACTACTTTTTCTCACACTATTGCTTTGCTTCTTCCTAGTTTTTTGTTTTGCCGAGTTTTTAGTGTTTGGGATCTGAGCTTCAACTGATTTGTCCCAAACATTTTATGCATTTCTCTGTTCCTTTTGAAGGTCTGATGTTTAATCATTTTTATCTACACGATACAACAGTTCGATACAACATTTCTCTGCTCTCTTTCATGTCCATATTGATATTTATTCCCTTTCTAACATGAATTTGAAACGGGCTCAGTAATAGTTGCATATGTAGCGTGGAAATTATAACTCGTGCTAATGATTAATAATTCCGTATGCAGTACTTTCTCCGACGTTGATGGGCGCATCACAATCATTGTCAATGGAGAATCGTTTCTACTGCACAAGGTACAACAACGTTTTGCTTCTTTCCTTGTGATAGATTAGATGCGCGTGCATTAATCGAAATGTCTACTGATGATCATCTGTTGTTTTAACTCCCAATCTGCTCAAAAACTAATGGAAAAATCAAAAAACTGATGCACGTACGATTAAAGTCCCCCCTTGTAGCCCAAAGTGGAAAGATCCGTAAGCTGTTAAACGATGCAACGACAAAAACAGTTCCACCAAAGCTGGAGCTCCAGGATTTTCCAGGCGGGCCCAAAACATTCGAGCTTGCAGCGAAATTCTGTTACGGCTTCAACTTGGAGATCACAAAATCAAACGTGGGCCCTCTGCATTGCGCCGCGCACTACTTGGAGATGACAGCTGGTGATTACAACCTTCTCGACCCAACAGAAGCCTACCTAACCAAAAACGTTTTCCAAAGTCTCGGAAAGTCGGTGGAGGTGCTGTTGGCCTGCGAGGACTTGCTTCCCTTTGCTGATGAAATAGAAATCCCGAGCAGATGCATTTCTGCTATTTCTCGGTTCGCTCGCTCGAATAATATGGATCTTGGGTTGTGTGTGGAGAATCTCTCGACTCTGGGTATCGATTTTTATAACCGAGTCATTACAGCCATGGGACAAATCGGAGTTGGGGCAGACAGCATAGCCGAATCTATAATGCATTACGCTCAAACATCACTCAAAGGTATCGGTAAGCCTCAGATATGGAATCCGGCGAGAAAGAATCCTATTCCGGTTGACAAAAGCCAGAGGAGAATTGTGGAGTTGCTCGTGAATCTATTGCCCCACGAGGAAGGCACTAGTAAGTTGTGTATCCCATTGAGTTTCTTGTTTGGGATGACGAGGATGTGTGTCATGGTGGGTGCTGACCTGGCGACACGAGTCGAGCTGGAGAAGAGGATTGCTGACAGATTGGAAATGGCATCGCTAGACGATATGCTTATACCGTCCCTCAGCATGACAGGTGATTCCTTGTTAGAAATCGACACAATCCACCGGATTCTGGTGCATTTCTTGCACAGGGTCGAAGAAGAAAATGGATATGAATCTGAAGGGAACGAGGAGTCGTGCTTGTTCAAAGTCGGGAGGCTAGTCGACTCGTATCTAGCTGAAATTGCACCCGACCCGTATCTTCGAATCGGCAAGTTCGTTGCCATGATTGAGGTACTACCCGATTATGCACGCATCATCGATGATGGACTGTACAGGGCTATCGACATATACTTGAAGGTACGTATAGAATTCTACATTGCATGAAGATTAATTTCGATGACTTATAATAATGATGATAACAATAAACAGGCACATCCGAAAACGAGAGAAAAGGAATGCAAGAAGCTTTGCAGATTGATAGACTGCGAGAAACTTTCGCTAGAAGCGTGCAATCACGCAGCTCGAAACGAGAGACTTCCGGCAGAGGTTTCGGTTCGGGTGGTCTACTTTGAGCAGGTGAGGCTGAGGAATGCCTTGCTGTCGTTTTCCGGTAGTGGTTTGCTGTCTCGGAGTGGGGTCGTGAGTGAAGCTGCTGTGTCCCCACGAGACACATACGCTTGTCTGAGAAGAGAGAATCGGGAGCTGAAGATGGAGATTTCAAGAATGCGAGTGAGGCTAACCGAGCTGGAAAAATTGGTCAAACAGGGGAAGATATCGATGAAGACCAAGAAGAAGAAGAAGAAGAAAGAAGGAGAGGGGTCCAAGGCGAATAATACTATTTTCACCACTATATCTAAAGGTATTGTAGGCAAATTTAGGGGCCAGCAGGCCATACAATAGAATCTTCATTGCTGCTTATATTTGTTACCAAGCTAACACAGACTAGTTGGTTAGCTAGCTTGCTTGTGGTGTACACGACACAACTTTTGGTTCTTTTTCGGTTCAGTCGGGTGATGAAAAGAGGTGAATCGCACCAAGTAAAGCATTTTTTCTTGAGTTTCGACGCCATTAGCTAGATAGATACATCAAAAGGAAAAACATATACGTCGGAGTCATCGTTAGTTATCTCTTTTTAGTCCTTCTCTGCATCTGAACTATGGTTTCTGTATCTTAATTTCCTTCATTTTTATAACGTTGTGATGGTGAATTAATGTGCAACAATATTATTAAACCATAATAAGTCTGTTCATCCATGAACAAGATAGGTATTTGGGGCTACATGAAACCAAGAATCGTTAATGCTGTCAATGTCATGTTCTTGAATTTTTACTGGCCAAGGCAAGGAGGAAGACATGGACATGGACCACAAATCTCAAATCTGAAGAGGCTTTGATTATATATATAAGCTTTAATATTTATAGGAATTTTAATCAACTTTTACATGTAATACATCAAATAATCATCATTTTATATTATGACAAAGAATTATTACATTATTATTAGTTAAGTAATAATTATATTTTTTTAACTATTCTATCCTATTATATAGAATAATTATTACTAAAAGTAACCAATTATAGATATATGAAAGTTTGATAATCATAAAAAAATATATTGGAAAATTATTTCTTCAACTGAATAAACTATTTATTTTTAATGGCATAGTAAAACCCCTTAAAATCTATAAACAGTTGTTATAATAATAAATTAATATTTTTTAGGTAATTAATTGGTTATGATTCCACAATATTATAAGAATTACTTTATATGTTATACTTAATACAATTAATATAATGATTTATATGCAGTTAAATAATTATGTATTATTTATTTTTACTTATGATCAAAACTTTCAAAAGTAATATCATTATATAACTTATAGTTTTAATATTATATACGTGCATATATTTCATAATATTTATACTTATATAAAAAGTTATCCTATTTACTAAAATTAGTAGCAAAAAAATAGGTCAGCATTTAATGCAACCTATAAATAGTAGTTTTATTATTAAATTTGAATAAAATGTGTTACTTAAATATCTAAACAATTTAAAAATTCAAATGTTTAAATTAATTGATAAACAATTTATAAATCTCTATTTTATCTAATTTTATTTAAAATAATTTTAAATATAATAAAATTTATTTAGAAAATCGTATCGATCCTACCAGTTCAACCGACTGGTGTTGACGATTCAATAGCAAATATTTTATTCAGGTGAACTAGACTAATTATAAATTAGTTCTTAGTCCATCTGGTCGGACTGTATCCAACACGGTTTAATTTTAAAACAATGGATAAATTTTGATTAATTTATTTTATTTTTAATTTATAACACAATCGTAATATTATTTTTTCGTGCATCGCCACGCACTAGTTTTATTTATATTTGATGAAATACTAGTTTGTATAAATAGTTTATATTAGTTGACTGTTTGTGATATTTTCATGCATAGAAGATAATTTAATTTATCTAGACATAGAATAATTAAAATGATTTTTATTCATAACAAAAGTTGCAAGGGTAAAAACGAGAAAACACATGAATGGCCGGTCGCCTCTGGATTAGGGATGGCGCAGAAAGAAAATAAATCGATCACTTCCCAAGTGTGAAATTGAGGAGACGAGCGAAAGAGGGGTTTAGGTCTTTTATCTTCTCTTGCTTGGCCGACCCTTTCTTCCCCGTTTACATACCCTTTTTCCGTCTATCTTCGGAGTTCACTGATCGGGTACTTGTCCTTTTTTTTTTATTATTTTTGGGTTTTTTGGGATATTTTTTTACTGTTTAGGTATTGGGATAAGCTTTTCAAGCTATGGCTTCGAAGCGCATACTGAAGGAACTCAAGGATCTGCAGAAGGACCCTCCTACTTCTTGCAGTGCTGGTACTGTAATCTTTTTATGTACCTCCTTTATGGGTTTTTTTTTTTTATCCATGTGGTGTTTTTATTTCATGCTTCATAGAACTGATTGTATTCCGTGCAAGCTCTGGAGGGATTGGGATACTTTATGTTTGACTGTAAATAAATTGCAGGTCGAGTTTTTTTATTAAATTACTATTCTGGTCAGTAAATTTTGATAAGAATGGTCTATGCACCAGTGCTTCTATATGCCCTTTGGTGGATATTTATCATTTTCCTTGGTACCTTCAAGTTTGAAAGTCGTTATATATGGGGTGTTGGTGATGTGATATTTTTCAATTGGAGTTTGTATGCTTTTTTTTTTTTGTGATACAAGAGTAGACTTTACTTCATGCAGGACCTGTGGCTGAAGATATGTTTCACTGGCAAGCAACCATCATGGGGCCGGCAGACAGTCCTTACTCAGGAGGTGTATTCCTCGCTACAATCCACTTCCCTCCTGACTATCCGTTCAAGCCCCCTAAGGTAGTTTTTCTAACCCTTTGTTTATAAGTGTTGAGTTATTGATCTGCAATGAGGCTTGATGGTGGGCATAGGGAGCATTCTTATCAACTTTGCATAATTGGATTTGTAGTTTCTACTAGTACTTATTCATTGGTTGATAACTTGTGGAGATTTTTATGAGTAGTTATGATTCTGGAAGGGAGGTGGGTTTATCATGGATAAATATCATTAACATGGTTTCAACTTTTTGTAGTTGTTGTTTCTGTTACAACAACATACCCTTGTAATTATACAAGGAGGCTGGGGGCCGGTTGTACGCAGACTTTACCCTTGTAATTATACAAGGAGGCTGTTTCCGTAGCGACCCAAGGTGCATTGCGTCGTTTGATATATTTTTTCTAGAAACTTCACTAATAGAAGAAGCACTAGAATTTAATTGAGCCATTTTGATCTTGTCCATTGTTAGCACTATGCCAAGAGAATTATCAACAATGACTCTTCTAGCTCCATTTGCAATGGACAAGCAATTCAGTGTACATGCACATCAATATATTAATAATAGGGTTAATTGCTAAATAAACCTTAATCTTTTTGCGTTTGGCAATTTTATCCCAGTATTTGGGTAATTGCAATATAATCTCGACCTCAATTTACTTATTGCAAATTTGGGTTGACACGGGTTTTTATGCCATCCACATAGCAAATTGACAATTTCCACGTATTTAATGTATATCCACGCACATAGCCGAAAATTCCACGTCAATGTAAGCTACCGGTGATGAGTCTCCTCCTAGATTTGGAGTGAGCCGGTAATGTTCGAACCGCCTTCAAATCGACCAGTTTTTTTTTTTATGGTCCAACCGGTTTTAGGTCCGACTTGCAATAAGTAAATTGAGGTCGAGATTATATTGCAATTACCCAAAGATTTAGATAAAATTGCCAAACGCAAAAAGGTTAAAGTTTATTTAGCAATTAACCCTTAATAATATAACATTAGCGACTGTAGATGCACATGAAAAGTTTTGCCTACTATAGAAGCTTCTTTATGCTTGTTTGTCTAATTTATTTCTATTAATGGATGTTACATTAGGTTCTGTTTCAGCTTGTTTCAACCTCTGTGCAGAATAAGGGTTCTGAAACACATAGCTTATGATACAATCATAATTTGGTGCTTCTTGTTTGTTAACTGACTGGTAAGAACTTACAAAATTCATGGTTGTTATTTCAATTTAGGTTGCTTTCAAGACAAAGGTTTTCCATCCTAATATCAATAGTAATGGAAGCATATGCCTTGATATTCTCAAGGAACAGTGGAGCCCTGCACTTACCATCTCAAAGGTATAAGTTTCATAATTTTATATGTTTTCTTTAATATATTATTTCTTGCTTCCTTTATTTGCGGATATAATAGATAATAATGCAGACATAAAGATTTTGCTGGGATGGTTGCATAACGCCTCATACCGTGGACAAGATGTTGCCTTGAGGAAAATTATTGTAGATACTGCACATACAGTGTGTATTTGCTAATGCTTAAATTATAATATTGTGTAAATTAATGCCTTATATGCTCTTTGTACACTTGTAACTTTTCTGCAGTACAACTCATTTTTTTTTTTTTTTTTCAATTCTGGTTATATGAATGGTGGTGTAACAGTGTCCCTTGGGTTTGAGTGGATTATTATCATCCTCATGACGTATTATATGTAATATTGTTGACCAGGTCTTGCTTTCAATTTGTTCGTTGCTGACTGATCCAAATCCTGATGACCCGCTTGTACCTGAGATAGCCCACATGTACAAGACCGACAAGGCCAAGTATGAGTCCACTGCTCGTAGCTGGACTCAGAAATATGCCATGGGATGATATGATAAAGACATCCTTGATGTCCAATATATGTATTTGTGCTGTTGACTTTCTTGGTCTTGGTAGTTGGTACTGAGAGTGAGATTTTGAAAAGCAAACGGTATTCTCTTGACTTCTTTGGAGCATCTAATTCTACTATTGCAGAATTTGAAGTTTGATTTGACCCTTTTTTTTTTTTTGGTGGTGAAAACCAGTTAATCCAGAGTCTTGTCAATCGTTTATGTATTATTATTTGTTCGCTCTTGGTTTTGGTTTGTTTTGTTTTGGTGTTTGTGTTGATACCATAGCAATTGAGTTGGTTCTGGGAGATTAGTTGTGTTGAAGCAAAATGTGGAGGATAGTGTTAATGCATCAGTTAGGTGGTATGATGAACTTTTAACAACTGATAATGGGTTTACTAATTAATAGTCAGCAGTTAACTTTTGTTGACTTTGGTTTTTTGAAAAAGTGATGACCAAATGAGTTGATTGTAGCGGTAGGTTCCAAATTATGCGGTGGAAAAAAAGGATTTTTATGCCTATAAAATGCTGAGCCTACATATTTCAACTTTTCAAACTCCTTTTAACAAGTCAAATTCTATTTTATCTACAAGTAAACATCGCCAGTCGTTAACTTTTAGCTGTTAAGCACAAATATATTACTACTGTCTTACAGCTCTCCTTTTTACCACATACTTACTATAAGATAATAAGATGATATCTCTTTTTTTACCACAAATACCTGGATTTTTTTCAGCCAGGTATACAAATACTGACTACTACATTTTAATGAGATGCTGTAAGGTGTGTTTGGTGGTCGTCCAAACTACACAAACATAAATTCAGTTGTTTTGATTTCACAATTCTTTACAGTTATTTTTTATTTTTTGGGAATCATACATGTCAAAATTATTCCATCTAAATTGACCATTTTTTCTTTTTTCTGTTTCTTAAAAATTTATTTATTTTTCAAGTCATAATTAAAAATTGTGGTAACAAGACAGGAAATGTGGTGTCTGTGTTCCTTTCGGACAGCCCCAACTCATCTGAAACACCGTCGTGAAGAGGCTTTTACACATAATAATTCATTCTAGAAATCGTGCGCCGGCCATTAATCTTCTTCTGGGCGTTGCCGACGCTCGTTGCCTTTCTTGTCGGTAAAACTTCCCATTTCCCAAACCTAGCTCTCTTCTCTTTCAATTGGGTTGTCATATTATTATTATTATTATGGGTTTGTGATGCTGTATTAATTTTGGTAGGATTTTGGGCATTTAACCGATTCAATTCTCTTTTTCGAGTACAGATTCTACAGATCAAAAGGTTGTGTGGATTGAGTTTCTCTAAGCCATAAATGGGCAATTGCGTAGTTAAGGTATGCAGGTGGCTGTTAAGTATATTATTTTGTTTTTGCCCTTCAATTTGGATCTTCATTATTCAATAAAAATGGAGTCTTGGTTAGGTGCCCACGTTTCATTTTCAACAACAGCCGATAATAAGCTATTCTTTCTTTTTTTGGGGGGTTCTCTGGCACACTATGCAGAAAAAGGATGAGGGGGATGATTCTGATCACAACGTTGAGTTCGCCGGTGGAAAGGTCCACCTCATCACAACAAAAGAAAGTTGGGAACAGAAACTGGCAGAAGCACAAAAAGATGGAAAGATTGTAAGCATTCATCAAGCTAGTGTAGCTTATCGGGTCTAGTGCTGATATTTATAATTTAGTGTCAACGTCCAATGTCATGATGTCATGGCTACACACATTCATGTGTTGGTATTCAACTTGAGATTGTGTTCATCAACACGCATAGTACAGTTGCACACACACACAGAACAGCTTACTGCGAGTTGTCTTATCCACTGATATTAGAATTTTCTGCTGTTATATGTTCTCAAGGTAAATCTGCACTGGGGTTTTAGATATTCAAATAGCAATCATAGTCATGAGATATGATCAAGTACTTGATACTTTTATTAAAGATGTGAAATGTTGCATATTGTATTATGGTAATCAGGAGTTTTTCTTTTCACATCTCCACTCAACTTCCCTTTACCATTGACTTTTGATTCCATTTGAATTTGTACATTTATGTGTATACTTGAAGATATTACTATAACTTATAATTGGAAGTTAAAGGCTTTATCGTTGGACCTTATGGAAAGAATTGATGACTTTAGCTGCTTTGGTTATGGATAAATAGCACACCCTTTACCTATTATACATCATTTGTTATTTTCTCTTGGGATGTAGTAAACTTTACCATTTCTCGAAAAGATTTTTCTGAATTCGATAACTTAGAGTAATCATGCAATGAATCAGTACTTTAAAGTACATAAATGTAAAGAGAGTACAGGTCGAACTATAACCTATAATAATGGGGTGTAAGAAATACGATGCTTAGATTTCCACTGCCTAAGTTTGTTTGATTCTTCTTCTTTAGACACAATGTATACACTTAAAATATGGTTCTTTCTCTCGTGAGACTTAGAAGGAAAACATTCGCATGAAAGATCTGGAGCTAGGCTTGATAGCTGTATTATACAACTTTTCTGTATCATGAGTGGAAAAGAATTGGAGATGGAACACATAACTAAATGTGAATTTAACCTCTGAAAACGACTCTGGTTTACTTGTGCTAATTGGGACCTAATGTGGCATCTTTTACTGTGCTTCCTAACATGTAACCATTACATGACAGGTGGTTGCCAATTTTAGTGCTACATGGTGCGGCCCTTGTCGCATGATTGCGCCTTTCTATGTCGAGCTCTCTGAGAAGCACCCTTCCCTAATGTTTTTGACAGTTGATGTCGATGAACTCACTGTAAGATGACATTATGTGTTGACCCGTCTGTATTTTCACTTTAAGAGTTGGAAAAATTGTTTTTAATCTCGAGCTCCTCTGATAATGTCGGCATATAATGAGTTTATTGTGCTTTACTGCAGGAATTTAGTACGTCGTGGGATATCAAAGCAACCCCAACCTTCTTCTTCCTCAAAAACGGGCAGCAACTTGACAAACTCGTGGGTGCCAACAAGCCAGAACTGCAGAAGAAGATGATTGCCATTCTGGATTCAGCAAACACATGCCCGACTTAGTGTGATTACCAGGCAACATTACAGCGAACCTTCCTTTTTTGTTTGTGTGCAGATGTACAATTGTTGTTGAAAAGGGGAAAAAATGACTGAACATTTTGCGGGTGTTTTGTGTGTGGAAGAAGAAAGTTCTTCCTCAAACTGCCTAGTGCTTTGTTGTTGTCAACCACTCAAATAATCTCTTGTCCACATTTATTACGTATGTAAGTTTTATGTTTCTCCAGGCCAGCTATGGTGGGCCTGATATTGTCACACGTTTTGCCATAACAGAAATTTTTGAGTTGATTGAGGAATATTATAATTCTGAGCTTGCCTTGGACGTTTGGGATGATTGCATATTGTGTATATGAAATGTTGTAACTTATTTCATACTCAAAAATTTTAATTAAATTTTAACTCAACCCCACTAGTTTCAATCAATATAATGAAATAATATCAACTAATCATTCTTAAATATTACATCAATTTTAATTTAATATTCATTCATTCACATAATTTTAACTAACTATACAAGATTTTTGAAAATTATCCGATGATTAACTAAAAAACTCACTTTTGTACACGCACACACGCTATAAGTCTAGAAAATATTGTCAAGATTCTCAGGTAATTGTCCAAAGTGATTGTCAACATTAAGCACCGACCAATTTTACCAGCTTTAACATTTGAAAAAAAATACAAGTTGAAAAACTCTTCTTCCACGAGAGAGTAGAAAAAGACGTGCATATTCATGCCATAATGTGCTGCTGCAGCTATTAATTACAGTGCTGCTGTCCCTGAATTTGTTAGTATCACAAAATTCCTTACAATGCTAACCTTTGGCTTCTTGCATTTGTGGGTATCATAAAATTCCCAACTTTTTTAGCATTTAATTTGGCATATGAGTTTTCTTGTTGCAACAAACAAGAATGTTAACTGCTAATTTGCGTTGTTCACTCCCAGTCTTTTTGCAGTAATAACCTTTCAATCCAATCAAAGCTTTGTAATTATGTTAAAATCTATCCAAGTACACATCCATCAGAACCACATCTGCAGATCCGAATACTACTCGAAAATATATAGCTGCATTGCCATATATAATGCAACCAAAATGGTAAAAAAAAGGAAAATACAAACTGTTTTCACACCTTGGGTATAGACACACTTGCAGGATGTTTAGCCATCACAAATAGAAGAGAAAAAAAAA